ACACACACTTTAAATATACGCAAAATGAGAGCTGTCTTACCACCATTGGTGAATGCGGTCAAATAACGCTATGTCGGCAGCTCACTGTGCTTTAAAACGCGGCCCTTGTTGTGTTATTAATATAGTCAATTGAAGCTAACTACTGACATGCATAGAACAGTTTGTTACAATATTAACATCATTTACGTTATATTAAGCCATACAAGTCTTAATACCCAGGGATCCCTTTAAATTGTAAAAAGGCAAAACGTACTACAAATCCGAAGCCTCTTTTCAGGTCAATGTCCCTGATTCTTCCATAACCCTTGAAGAAGCGCTCGACGTCCTTTTCCCGAGCAGAGGGGTTTAATCGACCGATGAAAATACGACAACCGCTCATCCTCCTCAAAACAAGCGAAAACAAGTTAAAACAACCATGATAATACTGTCATTCTGCAATTGTCAAACACCTAACGTTACGAATCTCTGCAACAATAAAGGCTCGAGGCCACAACCCACATCCAGAGAGAGATCATTAACTGCTGAATCGCTCTACAAAATACAGTCGTTTAAACAACACATCCCTTAGAAGAAGAATTCAGGCAAGTGTGAAGATGTCTTAAGTACATACTGTCTCGGGTACATACCTCTACCTGATGTTTGTCCTCTGAATGTGTCGTGCCTGTCCGAACAGTCCCCTCACACAAAATGGAGTCTGAAGAGCTGCGAACGAGGCTCGGCTTCAGCGCTGATCTGAGATCAGTTCAGAACACCACAACCGCTGCACTACTGACAGATACGCTATGAATTCTACTGTGATTACTCAATAATTTGAACTAGTATGTAGCTATCTACGTATTGAGAAAATGGTGGAAAATGTCAAACGTAAGGCTGTATGGTAAAATGATTTTCTTAAGAGAGACGAAACACAATTTGTAGTGTCTGTGGTAACTTTGAACTGATTTCCCACATTTATTCCGACCATAAAATACTTTGTTTAGATAAAACGGCGTGTATGTACTGCAACGAATTGTACTGAATCAATTGAACCGGTTCACAAATTGAGTCTGAATGATTCGTGAATAATCGCCGTCACATTCTTTTGGTCCGATTCACCAAAAAACCGTACTGGACTGGTCATGATAGTTTACTATTATTTAGATTCTAAATGAGATGCATTAAGTCTGCAACATAATGAGGTAAATAGCTGCATCGTTATTTTGAATCGTTTCTTTGAAAGAACTGTTCAAAATAACCGAAACGCGGAAATGAGCCGGACTTCAGTAGTAGTACAGAGCTCGAACACTAGATGGCGTTAACGCACATTAATTACTTACTAATGAAATCTGCACTTTACCCTCATTACAATGGAATCCATCATGTCATACGACAGTATGGATTATTATATAACTTTAAAAGCAGTTACAGAGTAAACCACAACATGACACGCATCAAACTCACCAAAGTAAACACACCACTTGAGCACTTCAAATGAAAGCTTTAATTAGAAATAGTTATATACACAATGTAGAATTAAATTAAACTTTATACAAATATTAAAATAGTATCTTCACACACACAGCAATGTACAGAGGAAAACCAAAAGAAGTGGAATGGGGATGGGGAGCTGGATGGATGAGTCAACTTAAATTACACTTGCAGAAAAACACCGTACAACAGTGTTTCACACACATCCTAGATATCCTTTTTTATTTGCGTCCTTTCTTTTTTTTAAATGTAAAAACATCCTTTGAATGAAACCAAACAAACAAACAAACCCTCAAAAGTTCATGTTTCACATTCACAAAAAACAAAAAACTCTTCTGAGGAAGTACGGGTGGATAATCTTATGTCACATCCTCCAGAGTAAAACCCTATGTCTGAAAATCTACAAGACAATGTTTATGCATAGAAAAGAAAAAGTAAGGCCATAAGGAAACTGAAGACAAATTACCATTAAGCCAGTGAGATGGAAGAAACACTTGATTACAAAGTGAGAAATGGATGAAATGTACAAGTTTTAAGGCAGCAGTAATATTTTGCCTTCAGTTTGCATGAAAAAAAAAAAAAATGTAAATAATTTTACAAAAACAAGCCAGGAACACAAAACTGAGGATGTGCAGATAGGCAAACTGCCCTCTCTCTCCAAAGTCAGACACAAAAATATACATAGGCCTATTTGATGCATGTTGACAAACAGAATTATGAGTCAACCACAGAGGATATACACAAGGTGGCAATAGGCAAGGATGTAAAATGCAAACTCAAACAAATGATTCATTGGTTTTTTAAATGTCCATTTGCCAAAAGAACATTGTGAGTGAAGAACAAGGCCATTTTCTGGAGCTATTATACAGTGCATTAATACAACGCACAACCTATTTGAGATCTTACAGGATATCTGATTCATTCTCCTTACAAATACCATTTTAATGGCACATGGCTGAAATGATTTATTAAGAAAACTAAACAAAAGGATCTCCTATCCTTGATAGTCATCTTCAAAATTAGCAGCTGGCTTTGCAAAACATTCAAATGCAATATATGCGGTTTAATTTCCTTAATTAAAAGTGAATTAAACTTGCTCAAATCCAAATATTATTAGTCAGAGTCAAAGCTCATAAGGTATAGCCCAGTAATGAAATTAGTCCACACCCCCCAAAAAAAGTCCTTTTGGAAAAAGAACATACAGGTGATTAAAAATTAAAAAA